ATTCGTTAGTCATATGAATGAAAAATGATATTATCATCTCTTTTGTATTAAAATGTAGATTTTATCTTGTTTATATGTGTTTTCACATCATCTGCTTTAGCCTTTTTAATAGGAAGATTGGTGTAATTATGCCAAAATTATTGAGTTTACTGTATTTTTTCTAAACCTTAGGAAGGTTAGTGTGATTTACTCATTTTTTTATTATAAAAAATGAGAAACTACAAAAATTTGAAAAAATGAAAATAAAATCTAAGAAACATGCATGGTGAGTCGCTAGAGGTAATGGCTAGTTGTAACAACCCCTATCCGTAATTAGCCATTAACCCGTATTTAATGATGCTAATTGAATGGATCAAATGAATTATTGGGGTTAGTATGTAAATTGCATGATATTTGGCCTTCTATCTGCTACTTATAGAAATATCTGTTTGAAATTCCACATTAATATGTAAATTGAAAGCCTTATCAGCATCCGAAACTGAAATTGACTACACCGATGTGTTATTTGAAATTTTCAGAACACTATGGCAAATTTTATTAAAAATTGATTCAGAACAATTCGTTAAGTTGCGTTTGGCTAGCTTAATAATCCAATTAATGCATTTTTGACATCATAGCTTTATTTATGAGCCTTAAGCTCATTTTGAGCTCATTTCTTCATCCCCCCATAGTGCAAAAATCTGAGAATACATTCTAGAGTGAGAGTGAGACTCCATTTTAGAGAGAGTGTGTGGATTCAAGGAAGAAGTGAAGAATTTTGCTAGAGTAGCTCAAGTTTGGCAAGGATCTTGTGTAATTGAGGGCTTTTGGTGAGTATCTAACCCATAATTCATGATGAAGTTGTGTTATAAAGATGCATTCATGGAGTTGTTAGGATCATTTGCATGTAATTTACATATGGTCGTGAAGAGGATGGAGGATTTGACTATACTTCCACTTGCATGTGTATATATATGTAGAGCACTACAAGAAAAGTGAATTTATGAGACGGAATTATTTGCGACGGCACACTTGCCGTCTCAAAAAGTCACTTTTTGCGACTACAGAAAATGCCGTCTCAAAAAAATAGAGTATTTGCAACGGCACCATTTGCCGTCTCAAAAAAGCAGAGCATTTGCGACGGCACTATTTGCCGTCTCAAAAAATGAGAGTATTTGTGACGGCAAAAAATACCGTCGCAAATACTCTCATTTTTTGAGACGGCAAATAGCGCTGTCGCAAATGCTCTGCTTTTTTGAGACGGCAAATGCTGCCGTTGCAAATACTCTGCTTTTTTGAGATGGCATTTTCTGCCATCGCAAAAAGTGCCTTTCGTGTTTTTTTTTTGTTTTTAGCGAATATTTTTTAAATTTTAAATATTTTTTTTAAATGCACCTTACTTAGATGTATCTAAAAAATAAAAAATTATGAAAAAATATTTTTAAAAATTAATAAATACATAAAAATACAAAAAAAAAAATGTATTGAATTATTGTATTTTTTTTATATTTTTGGTATTTAGTGAATTTTTAAAATATTTTTTTTACAATTTTTTTAAATTTTTTAGGTGTATTTATGTTAGGTGTGTCTAAAGATTAAAAAAAAATACTTAAAATATTAAAAAAATTCAGTAAAAATAATATAACACGGAAAATAAGAAAGTATAATTTTCGCAAAAGAGTTTTTGAAAAACTCTAACCTAGCATAGTGATTGTGGTTTTGAGATAGCTTCATATATATACAGTCACAAAATGGTTTGAATAAATTCAACGGCATTTTTCTGTCACAAAAAAAATTTAAAAAAACAATATCGTCTTACTCTTTTGATATAACATTTCTCTTTTCATTCATTTTTTCATCTTCCTGTCTCTCCGTCTCTATCTTTCTCTCTTCTCTTTATCTCTTTCACTCATCACTCTTTTTTCTGTCTATCTGTTTCTCTCTCTTATTTTCTCTCTATGTCTCTCGCCTATCTCTCTTCTCTCTATCTCTTTTATCTGTTTTCTCTCTCTGTCTCTCTCGCTCATCTCTCTTCTCTCTATCTCTTTTTCTGTCTATCTCTCTCTCTCTCTCACTGTCTCTCTCTCACTCATCACTCTTCTCTCTCTCTCTCTCTCTACTTGTCTATTTGTCTATTTCTCCCTCACTATGTTCGTCTTGCTCACTCTCTTACTCTCATCTTCTCTATTTATCGAGCTCCTTCTCGATTTATCGATCCACTATAAGAAAATACACTTTTAGCAACCACTTTGTCTATCTTCTCTCTCTCTCGCTCATTACTCTATCTCTGTCTCTCTTCTTTATCTGTCTCAATTTTTTAGGTGTATTTATGTTAGGTGTGTCTAAAGATTAAAAAAAAATACTTAAAATATTAAAAAAATTCAATAAAAATAATATAACACGGAAAATAAGAAAGTATAATTTTCTCAAAAGAGTTTTTGAAAAGCTCTAACCTAGCATAGTGGTTGTGGTTTTGAGATAGCTTCATATATATACAGTCACAAAATGATTTGAATAAATTCAACGGCATTTTTCTGTCACAAAAAAAATTTAAAAAAACAATATCGTCTTACTCTTTTGATATAACATTTCTCTTTTCATTCATTTTTTCATCTTCCTGTCTCTCCGTCTCTATCTTTCTCTCTTCTCTTTATCTCTTTCACTCATCACTCTTTTTTCTGTCTATCTGTTTCTCTCTCTTATTTTCTCTCTATGTCTCTCGCCTATCTCTCTTCTCTCTATCTCTTTCATCTGTTTTCTCTCTCTATCTCTCTCACTCATCTCTCTATCTCTCTCATTTCTTTCTCTCTCTCTCTTATCTTTCTATCTCTCTCACCCATTTCTCTTCTCTCTCTGTCTCTCTATTTTTCTGTGTCTCTCTCTCGCTCATCTCTTTTCGCTCTATTTCTCTCTCTTTTTGTCTATCTCTTACTCATCTCTTGCTTCTCTCTCTTTTTCTATCTCTCTATCTATCTCTCTCTCTCTCTATCTCTTTTTCTGTCTATCTCTCTCTTTCCTTGTCTCTCTCTCACTCATCACTCTTCTCTCTCTCTCTCTCTCTACTTGTCTATTTGTCTATTTCTCTCTCACTATGTTCGTCTTGCTTACTCTCTTACTCTCATCTTCTCTATTTATCGAGCTCCTTCTCGATTTATCGATCCACTATAAGAAAATACACTTTTAGCAACCACTTGTCTCTCTCTCTCTCTCTCTCGCTCATTACTCTATCTCTGTCTCTCTTCTTTATCTGTCTCACACAAAATTAAAATATTTTTAAAATATTTAAATATTTTAAATTTAAAAAAAATTGATTTGAATTAAGTTTTGAAAAGACTTTTGAATTATGTGTTTGGTTATGAGTTTCGATAAGTAATGATTATATTTTGAATTGAGTTTTGAAAAATGAATGTAGAATTATGATTTGAAAGCTCAAAACAAACACTATACTTAAATCAATGGGTGGAACTATGACCACTACCACTACCACTCTCTCTGTCTCTTTTTTTTTTCTATGTCTCTCTCTCGTTAATCTCTTTTCACTTTCTTTCTCTCTCTTTTTTATTATCTCTTGCCCATCTCTTGTTTCTCTCTCTATTTCTGTCTATCTCTCTCTATCTCTTTCTGTCTCCGTTTCTCTCTCCCTCTCTCACTTATCGCTCTTCTCTCTCTCTGTCTGCCTGTTTGTTTGTCTGTCTGTCTGTCTCTCTCTCTCTCTCCCCCCCACTGTGTTCGCCTTGCTTACTCTCTCCCTTATCTCTTCTTTATTTATTGAGCTCCTTTTTGATTTATCGATCAACTACAAGAAAATGTACTTTTAGCAACCACTTTGTCTCTTTCTCGCTCATCACTCTGTCTCTTTCTCTGTCTCTCTATCTCTTTTGTCTATTCGTCTCTCACTCATCTCTCTCTCTCACCACCTATCTTCTCTACCACATTTACCACTACTGCAAATGCCATTCAACTACCACCACTCTTCTCTTTCTCTCTTTCACTCATCACTCTTCTTTCTCTATCTGTGTGTCTTTCGTTCATCTTTCTTCTCTCTATCTCTCTCATTTGTCTTCTCTCTCTGTCTCTCTCTCTCTCTCATCTCTTTTCTCTCCCTGTTTCTCTCGCCCATCTATCTTTTTCTCTCTCTCTGTCTCTCTAGCTCATCTATCTTCTCTCTATCTCTCTATTTTTCTATTCTATCTCTCGTTCATCTCTTTTCGCTCTCTTTCTCTCTCTTTTTGTATCGCTCATGATCTCTTGTTTCTCTCTCTTTTTCTGTCTCTCTCTCTCTCTCTCTATCTCTTTCTCTCTTTATCTGTCTGTCTGTCTCTCTCTTTCCGTCTCTCTCTCTCTCACTCATCACTCTTAATAGAAAATAATTTTTATTAAAATATTATCCTTGCTTCTACCAAATAAAAAATAATAATAATAATTTTTTATTCATTAAAATAAAAATGAAACAAATAAATTCTCAACCTTAATAACGAAAAGAAAATGAAAATGAAAATTATTATTTATTTATTTTTTATTATTTAAATATTCATTTATGATAAAAATTATTTATTTTTATTTTTTTTTCCCAATCCCGTCCGCACGATTTCCCCTCTTTTTTTTTTCCATTCCCGCGCCCCCCAAAATCCCCACTCTCTTATAACCAAAATCCCTAATTTCTACCAAATATCTCTCTCTCTCTCTCGCGACTGTGAGCATGGGCGACGACGGCGTCTACCTAAATCCCCCTCTTCTTTTTCTTTTTCGTTTTCCCGTTGTTTCTAATTCCCCCATTTCTTTCCCCCATTTTGTTTCTCACTCACGATCTCCAATCCCCAACCCCTTAAACAAAAATATCCCCAATTTCAAAAATTTCCAAAATACTCTCTCTCTCTCTCTCTCTCCCTCTCTCGACTGCAAGCAGCGGCAAAGGGGGACGACGGCGGGCAATGAGGTGGAGGTCATCTGAATGGTTGGAGGAAGTACAGAAGCTGTTGGTGCTGGTGTTGGAGGGAGATCTAGTGGCAATAAGATGCCGTGTCGAAACTCTCATTATTCAAATCTCAATATATCTATATCTATATATAGTCGTTATTATTGTTTGTGTAATTCAAAGGCTGTTTTTGTGATTTGTTGTGAGAGAATCGCGATCAAGATCGTTGAGAATGGCGAGTGTTGCTGGGATGATTGGCCGAGGTTGTGGATCTTCTTTGTGGATCCAATTGAAGAATTCGAAGAAGAAGAAAGCGATAAGGAAAAATGACAGGGTTAGGGTTTATACTGCTTCGTATTCTGCTTTTTCTGCTGTCACCGATCCCTACAAGACATTGAGGATTCAACCAGGTGCTTCTGAATCTGAGTTCAAGAAAGCTTTCAGACAACTTGCTCTCCATGTAATTTCTTTTTCAATTTTCTTTTCAAAATGTTGTTTTTTATATTTTCCTTTTTTGATTAATATCTTCTTCTATAAAATCTGGTTCTGATTGGTCTCCTTTTCTATTAATTTTTTATTTTTTATTTTTAAATTCATTTGAAAAATGTTAGAAACTCAGGATTTAGATCTTAAATTCACCTAATATGACAAGGTAGTAAAGTTGACACTTATTGCAAAAAAAAATTAGATTCTCAAACATTTTTGATTATGCTTAGAATGAGTGGTTTGAAAAAATATCGGATAAAAAATAAATAAAAATTTAATTGCAATTGCATTTGATGCATGTTTCATTTAATGTTATTTTTCATTTATTTGATTTGATTTAATTTTTTTTGATTAATTATTAATGTGGAACCCATTTTATTAATTAATAATTATGTTTGTAATATGATCGAATTTTCAGTATCATCCGGATGTTTGCAGAGGAAACAATTGTGGGGTTCAGTTTCACCACATTAATGAAGCTTATGATGTAAGTTCCCTACTCTTTTTGTCTATGGGCCTTTTATTTTATTTATTTTTAATTATGATAGAGAATTCTCATGGTTCATTCAAGTATTTTATTAATAATTTAAGAGTTTATCTTGTAAGATTTTGCCTTTAGTTGTCAAGAATAGTATGAAAACCTTTATTTGGAGTGGTTGCAACTTACATGGGTGTTGCTTTATTTAAAAGTTGTCAGTCTTGCTTCAGTAACATTAGCATTTGTGGGAACCAGGCTAGTTAATGCTGTTTTCATGGCCTCGCTTCACTTTTTTTACTCCCATTCATTTCTGGTTCAAGATTTATTGGTAGTGTTAGTGATTTGAGCTTACATCTTTCTTCAGCGATGATTTTTGTATAGGATATATGTTTCACGATGTACTATGTAATAACACAACTTATGGCAAATCCAGTTACTACTTAGCATTTTTAGAGGCTCTTTTCTGTCATATAATTTCATAGAACAGAACTTTGTTTAGTCCCTGCCCCTGGTATGATTGATTATGATATGAACATATATTTCTTCTTCTTACAGGTACTTAGTGATCCCAAATGTCGAGGGTGATGGTAGAGACGAATGGGAAATCAGATCGTCCATTGGCTTGGACTCAACGCTTGATAAATAAAATTTTCAATTAAAGTGAGTTATTTAATTTTTCTTGTGCAATTGGATGAACATTTTTCTTGCCTTATGAAAGAATTTGTTTCCCTATGTTTAAAGAAGGCCCCTTCTGAGGTAGGTACCTATGCCCGCAAAATTCCTGCCTTTTTTTTACTCATCTTATTGTGAAATTTTGTGGTGTAGATTATGGAGAAACTTATGGGTCATTCATAACACTGGATGTTCTTGCTAAGAACTATTTTCTTATGTAGTTCACTTTCCATAGAAAATCCTAAATGGTTGAGAAGTGCTGTGTTAGGTTGTGTTTAATTTGATCTTTTTCTTATGATCAGTAACAATTAATTTGATCTGCCTCTTCTTGCAAGCTTCACAATGAAAAAAACATACTGAGAGAATTTTTGGGCCTTTTAGCACTTTTTGGTGCCATGTCTCCATGTATACTTCCAATAACAATCTTTGATATTCATACTTGACATTGTGTTGCTCTCATTTTGGATACTAGTTAACTAACACGCATGGCCTGGATTCCTAAAATATACTTACAATAATAAAAACGAAATCTTTACTAACATATAGTTGCTCTCCCTCATGCTTGACATGTACATAATTTATGTTAGATCATGTATGATTTTGACTCCGCTTGCTGTTGAATTTTGTTGGATGCTTTCAATACCGTTAAGTTAGGAAAAATTTAGGTCTTTATGATACTAAAATGTATTTTCCAGCACATACTGTTTTGGCACAGTAAACATTTAACCATTGTGACAGTTGCCATCCTGATGACAGTGAACTTTCTAGAGTAAAAATTTGATACTTTACAAGGTCAAATAGTTGTCTAGGTGATGTTAATGAATAATGAATGTGTAAATAGTTATTGAGGGCTGCCTTCACATGTTGGGTTGTCTTGCCAAATATTGCTTTATTAGCAATGTTTTCCCACTTGATTACTTTAGATGGTTAATATTTTTCTTGAAATGTAGCTCAACCTCTAAGCAGGTGGATTGTCCAATGCATAGAGTCTACCCTAGAGTCCACACCATACCATGTTTCCAGACAGCCTAAGCAACTCTAGACATTCAGTGTGGCTTGTTGTCCAATCAAGGGCCTAGTTGATTGACCCAAGTACAAAAGGTTATTATCCTTGATTTATTTACTCCCTTCTTAATTCTAGAATTTCTATTTAATCTATCAAATATCAAATTAGCATGGCTTCAGGTGTAATCCTTGATCAGTTTGCATTACTCTATAAAAATTGACAGTTTTTGTTTTTGTTTTGTTTCCTATATAAAGGAAAAGAGAAATTGGAGAAGTAGTCCATTTTATGCTCCGTTTGGAGGAGGAGCTCGATTTTGTCCAGGGGCAGAGTTGGCTCGCCTTCAAATTGCTCTCTTTCTTCATTACTTCGTTACTACATACATGTTATTTTCATCCCTCAAATACTTATGAAAAACATTATACAGACAAACAGACTTTTACGTAGTACCAAAATAAAAAATAAAAAACTTAAGAAAAATTATGTTGCATTAATTAATGGTTGTAAAAAATGTCCTCAAATTATGGGTTTGTTTTTTGAGGGTTTATATATATATATATATATATCACCAAATACATTTCACCATTTTCTTCAACTTCTTAGATAGATCCACACAATAAACTCCACCATATTTGCATGTAGGACATATCACATTCAAAAATTAATGGTGGGTCTCATTATTTATTTATAAATATGATGGATTATATACATATTGTTTTTTGTGTGGATGATGTGAAGAAATTATGCTGTAAATGAAGTTCTTATTTCGCTGCAAATTATTTTGGTAGGTGGACCCAACTCAAGGAGGATCGAATGTCTTTCTTTCCTTCAGCTCGATTAGTGAATGGCTTTCAAATCCAAATAACCAGATGGGATGACGAGTTGAAAAAAATAAATTTTTTATTTTCCCATTATATACTGTTTCCCTCCATATTTCAACCTTGAGGAAAACTGAGGGTTGAATATTTTGTAACCAATTTTCATAGTACAGATTTGTATTGTGGTGATGAAACATTCGACCCTCCTTCAAGCTTGCAGGTGAATTGAATATGTGAGATTGTACGACTCAAAAAGGAAAGATTTTGTGGGATGAGGTGAAAATTTTAAGATCAAAACTGTAAGTGGAATGAAGAATTTGTGGGAACATTGTCAGTCTTTTTATTAAAACTGAGTTAAGTAACAGAAGTGATCATTGGTTACCTTTGTGAACTCTTGCTTTGTTTGAATCGTGAATTTATAAATGGAGAAAAAAGTAATTTATATTCATTTATAGTGTTTATTTTTTTCATTTCTTTTATATTTTTAAATTTTATCGGATGATAATTATAGAACATTATATAGTGAGATAAATTTGTTGATGTGTAATTATGAATAGAAGAATATTTTATTATGAATAAATTGTTATTTTATGCAGGAATTTTTATATTATTATGTAATTATTATGGAGAAATTTTAATATTTTTAATAATTTTATCGAAGGATTTTTTTTTTGTGACGGCACTACATTGTCGCAAAAAATAGAAAATTTTATTACTTTTATTGATTTTGTTACAGGTTTTACTTTTTGCGACGACACTAAACTATCGCAAAAAATAGAAATTTTATTATTTAAAATAGAAATTTTATTTTTTTTTAATACTTTTTGCGACGGCATTACACTGTCACAAAAAAATAAAAATTTTCATCTTTTTAATACTTTTTGCGACGGCACCACACCGTCGCAAAAACAATGTTTTTGCCATTGCAAAAAAAGACTATTAGCGACGGTATTTTTTGTCGTCTCAAATAACATTTTTAGCGACGGTAAAATAGTGCCGTCGCAAAAAGTCAAGAAATTTCAAACATTATTAGCGACTGCACAGTGCCGTCGCAAAAGGCAAAAATGCCGTCGCAAAAACATTAGCGACGGCATAGCAAAAACTCTTTTGCGACCCCCTCTTGCCGTCGCAAAAAGTCATTTTGTCGTCGCAAAAAGTTTTTGCGACGGCATTAGGAGTATTAGCAATGGTATTTTACCGTCGCAAAAAGTCAATTTTTTTGTAGTGGAGGTTGTCATTTAAGTTTGATTTTGAGCATCTAAGCTATATTAGTAAGTTATTTGGTACTTGCATGTTAGAATTGCCATGTTAATCACTTAAGTTCATGTTTTGCAAGAGAATTTCTACATGCATGGAGCTTATGAGCTCAATTTGCTAGTTTCTTGAGTTTTGAAGAAAAGAGTTTGAGAGATTTTACATGCATGCTTTGTGTCTTAAATTTCAAGATGGAATGAGTTTTTGGCAAAACCTTGGGCCATGATTTTATGAAATGATCCTAAATTCTTCATGTTTTACAAGGTTACTATGTTATCTCAAGTTTTGGGGCCCAAGAGATGTGCTTTGAAAGGTTAAATTTGAGTTTTGAGCTTAGTGATCAAATTTGGAAATTTCAGAAATTGTATCCACGCTCGAGCGTGGGAGTTTACGCTCGAGCGACCACTCTGAGTGCGTACACTCTGCTCGAGCGACCAAAAGTCCGCATGAGCGTGAATTGCAAGCTCCTAGAAGTTTCATGTTGTTTACAGATCGCTCGAGCGAAGGAATGTGCGCTCGAGCGACCATTCACATTTTGCATGTCCGCTCGAGCGTAGATTGAGACCAACCAGTACTTTTGCCCAAGTTTGCAGATCGCTCGAGCGACCCCTCTCATTTTGCATGTCCGCTTGAGCGAGGAAGTCTACGCTTGAGCGGGGACTTTATTTTCAGAAAATTTGCCTAAGTTTTCCAACTCATGTTTTGGCATCCTCATTGCATCTTATGCATTCTTAAGACCTAATTAGGCTTTGATAATGAAGTTCTGGATTAGAAGCACACTATGTGAAGAATGTACTAAGTTCCGAGACTGCAAGTGTGTGTGTGTTTTAGGCAATGTGATAAGAAAGAATAAGAACCAATGTAATGAAAGCTAAGCCTTAATGGCCACTTGAATGTGTAATGATAAGACATGCTTATGTTAATATGTATTTTGTGATTGTAGGTCAAGACTCGAGGATTGATTGACCGCTTACTAGAACCACTGTGAGTAACGTTATCGTAAAGATACGTTTATATGAAATTATGTTCCAAATGAAATGTGATAAGTTATGATTTCTGATATGATATCTGTTTTACGTGAACGAACATCCCAAGTTTGAAATCTATTATGGCATCCATAGATAGTCCCAAGTCATAAGGGGCGGCATGAAAATGCGAGTCCATGACATATAAGTTTACGAGATCTCGTTAGCCACTTCATTGTGGTGATATGTGTTTAATCGGTATCCGGAACCGGTTACTCTAGTCGGAAGACGTTCTGTAATGTGTTATTATTATGTTCTGATATGAGGATGATTATGCTATGATATGTTTTCTGCTTATGATATGTTCGGATTTCGTTCACTAACCTCTTTACCTTAATGTTATTCACTGGGTTTTAGCTCACTGTTTGTATATATATGTATAGGTGAGTATTTTGGAGTTCAAGTTTGGAGACTTTTTGTCTGGATCTATATTCTGTTGTCAGCTAGCCATAGTGCCTCACGTGGAGGTTCCCGAAGTATCCTGTGTTCAAGTTCTGTTGGTTCTGTATATATATATGACTTGATGTAATTCTGTTGGCTGTACTTCAGATACTTTAATGTGTGTGGGTATAATGTATGATTGACTTTTGACTATGTATATAAAGTTTAAATATTCTGTTTCATATAAGTCAGGACAGCTTATTGGACAACTATATTTATGTATTTGCTTCCGTTAGCCCCTTATTATATGCTTATCCGTTCAGAGGAATGTTATTCACTGGGTTTTAGCTCACTGTTTGTATATATATGTATAGGTGAGTATTCTGGAGTTCAAGTTTGGAGACTTTTTGTCTGGATCTATGTTCTGTTGTCAGCTAGCCATTGTGCCTCACGTGGAGGTTCCCGAAGTATCCTGTGTTCAAGTTCTGTTGGT